AGTGTCGAATACCCAATCAAGACTTTACTCGCCAAGTCTACGAGCACAACATTTTGAGGATACGTGAGTCGACTACTTGGAACTAAGCAGTATCCGTAATTGATTTTCATCAAAGTGTTTGCAGATGACTTACCGTTACCACGAGGCTACTCGGCAAACTGTCGTCTGTATAAAGCTTGTGAATGTGGTACTGACGCTTTCTGAGTGCTACAAAGAGTGGAAGTGCCATTGTTAAACTACAAGCTCAGTGCGCTAACTCACACTATACCTCCACATCATCGCCTCAAACCTCATAACGATGGACTGTAAAACCTCAATGTTAACCCTTCGTTTCGCCATCTGCACACTTTTTCAGGAGGAGCGGTTTGCTCACCATGAACTGAGCAGAAGTTGTCTGCAGCGAGCAGTAACAATCCCAGCATCATCACCCATGTGCATCTCGTAGCACAGCTGGCCATCTTTCTATTTAAATGATCCGGCTATCAAACTTGTTGGCACCTGGCAGAATGGTTACATCGATCTCTTCCGACTGTCGAGCCGATCATCCGCCTGCCTTGTATACCGTGCTGGTTCAGTCATTCGGTGCTGCAGCCACATCAAGGTAACATTCAGAGGTGCCCAAGTTGGTCAGAGCAAGCACCGAGCTGAATACTCGAAGTTCGCCATGGAGTTTCTTGACTTGTTCAAAAAGCAGCTAGTAGAAGCCCAGAAGACTTGACCAGAAGGTCAAATACATTTGACGACAATGATGTCCGCGTAAGCTTCGCAGGAGATTCGAGCACCGCGTCACCAAAGTAGTGGACAGTAGATAACCTGGGACCGACAGATGCACGAGTGTCGAACTTGACAACGAAGGCAGTCAACTTTTTTGGTTCAATTACAATGTAGAAGTGTGAAAAGTTTGGAGTTAAAAATTTTCACGGCAAACATTTTTCACTGTAGAAATATTATATGGAGGTTGCTTTCCAGTCCAAGAAGGTTTATGATGTTATTAGACTTGATCAAAAACCAGTTGTTGCACCTGGAACACGTGGTAAGAATGAGTTACAAGAGCACATTGATGCGTGGGAGAAAAAAAAAACGCCAATGAAAGGATGCTTATCAGTTCAAGTATATCTAGGCAAATTATTTTGAAATTAATGAGATGTTCTAATGTTGAGAGCTTGTATAGTAAATTTTATTCCATATATCTCCAATGCACCGCAGAAAACCTATTCCAGTTGCAAGAAAAAAATTATGATTGCAAAATGTCTTGCTCTAATTATATAAGTTTTCATATTTAAAATATTGAAACAAATTCCTTACTGATGAAAGATTTTGATAGTGAGATTCCCAAGCAAATGTTTCTTTTAAAAATCATGTCCAATTTGCTACCAAGTTATAACAGAATCCTCACAGTGTGGGCCAATGTTAACAAAGAAAAGTAGGCAATTTTTCTTCTTCAGGATCGTCTTCTTTGGCACAAAACTTTATTACATATCCAAGGTAACTTGGAAGAAACCAGCAATCTAGTATTTTTTGTCGAAGCACAAAGACAAAGCAATGGTGCAATCAATTGATGTGAGCAGCATCAAAAGGATGTAAACTACATTTGTAACCTAAAAATTAGAACTTGTTATTTCAATTGCTGAGAATGCAATAATTAGTTGGAAGAATGTACCCCTCTAAAATGACTTGGTATTGGTTTGTCTACATCACAAATCACAGTAAGTGTAGCTAATATTTTAAAGAATCTACAATATTACTCTATTTTTGATGATGGTAAAAATTCTTTGTCAAAAAATTTATAGAATTTTAATGATCACATGAGTGATTTTTCATTCATGACTTCACATGCTTTTTCAATGTCTCTTGCATGCAATTTATTCTCTGTTGGCATTGTCTCCAAGGATGACTTTTTATTTATTACAATTTTGGGAGCATGTAAATTCTTATTGAAATCAAGAGACATGGTTTTAGAAAACGGTTTTAGAAGGGAAAAAAATTAATCAATTATATCAGCTATTGTTACAAGTTGTATTGCCATTATCTCAAGTATTGATAACCTCCATAGCCAATGAGGCTTCCACTCCGACAACTTCTACTAAAATCCTAACAAAAAACATAAAAACGAAATGCATTGATTGGTGGCTTAAATGGATGGCACGTATTTACATCCCAACTATAAAATAGATATTTCATCATAATTTTTTATTAGATTTTACAATTAAAAATTTTAATTTTGGTGCTAATTAATGTCATCCTTGTATGCATAGAAAATATGGTAAATCCAAATTTTAACAAATCTGAAAAAAAAAATATCCTTCAATCCAATTTAGTTCTTTCACATTGATAATTCAAGAAATTTTAATAAAAAATATATATTTTCGGTACTCAATATTATATGTGGTTAGAAGACAATGCCATTGTATACCCATTTACACATTTTACAAAATCAAAATTTAGAGTATTTCAATACTTTTAATACACTGTAAAGATAATTAAGGATGATACAAATAATAACACCAAGCAATTCTGCACCGACCACGGCAATAAATATTTAAATACTATTTTTTGAGATTATTTTATTGTTGTTGCTATAAAACATGAGCTAACCAATATACATACTCTACAACAAAAGGAGTTCATTATATAGGAAAATTGCATAATATTTAAAGCAATAACATTAATGTTATATAATAAGAATTTATTCTTATTATTTTAGGATGAAGCAGCAAATATAACTATGTAGATTTTGAATTAATCCATCAATACTCAAATTAGAGTCAAACATTGTTTGAGCTTTGGTTTTAAAACCAAATCCTTGATTGCTCACTATAGAATTTTTGGCTCACTAGTTTACATTCACATTAAAAAATCTCAATATAATAAACTAAAAAAAAAAAAAAAAAAAAAAAAAAATACACCAATGATTTTTGTTGGTTACTTTCTTTCAAACAAGGCATATTGACTATTGGATTCAATAATAAGCAAAATCACAATAAATTTTTGATGTTTTTTTTATGAATCTTTAGCAAACTATCATCTCACCACTTTTCTTGTCTATGATTTCTTATGAAGCCTCGGGGTTGAATTTGATGTCTCTCTAACATATATACTTCACAAAATTTATCTTGACAAGAACAAAAAACCTTCATACTACTAGATAATTTTAAAAATGATGTAACACAATCAATAAGAAAATCCCAAGCTAAAGTTTTTAATGATATAAAACTTACTTTGATTGTGTATTAACAAAATATTTTACCATAATCTACTTGTAAAGATCCAATTCAAGAACATTATGCTCCATCAATAAACCAACAATATAAATCACTACCAAAGATTATGAATTGTATACCTCCAATAATTACATCCATGACTATTGCTTGTGATACCTCAACTGCTTGTCTTGCAACTATGAGCAAATGTCTTCTTGAACCTTAAAGTTACCACAAAATCATAAACTTTGAAGACTCTCATTATTTGATGCAAGCAATTTAATCTAAATATGATTCACTTATTACAAATAACATATAGAATCTCTAAATTCTACTTTATTATTAAAAATCCATTTAATTTAAATGGATGTATAAACTAAAATAGAAGTTAAATAGAAAAATTAGTTGGTATAAGGTTTAATTTGTCGTAAAAGATTTTACTCAAAAATCAAGAATAGACTACTTCAAAACTTTTAGTCATGTTGTAAAATTTCATTAGATTTGTGTTATACTTACAATAGCCACTACAAATCTACATGATTCAACTCAAAGGTTTCCAATAAGAAGATTCCACCAAATTATTTTGTAAACTTAATATGAGCATCTACGAACTTAAACAAAGTATGAGACAATGGAATAAAAAAATTGATACATTTAAAAATAAGAATAAAAATAAAAAAAAATGATCTCATATTCTCTAAAGCTGATTCTTATGTCTACTATAATTTTAGAGATCATCTTCATATTCTTATTGATATTTATATTAACAACAACCTTATTTAATCTCTCAATCTAATATATATTAATTAAAAAATATTATATTTTAATATATTAATATTATATGGCTAAATTTCAAATTATGGTTGAAACCAATGATTATTTTGTGGATTACTTGATTGAAAAAAATTGTGAAAAAGTAGTTTTATACATCTATCAAAAAAGGTACATCATTGTCATTTTTCAATACTTTCAAATACTTAAATGTAGTTCCATAGCCACATTAATAAAGCTAAGTTTTCACATCTATGTTGATATTGATGGAGAAGATTTAATCAATAAGCACTTCTTATGATGTATTAGTTGCCTCATGTACACAATGATACTCATTTGATCTGATATTGCATTTTCTCTCACCAAAGTTGCTTGGTATTAATAACATCCAAAATAGAGCCACTATAATGTTTTCAAGCAAATATTTTCTTATTTAAATAAAACTTTGTTATTTGGCACCAAATATTTTGTTATATTTGATTTTTTTTTATAAGATTTTTTTTTTGGCTCCAAATATTTTGTTATATTTGATTTGTTGTTATAAGATTTTTTTTTTTTTTTTTTTGCCAACTTTGATGGGGACATAGACAACCACAAGAATTGCACAAGATATGTTTACACTCTCACAAGTGGTGCCATTCCATGGACCAATCAACTTCAATTTTTGACAATTAATTCTACTATTGTTGCCAAGTTGATTGTTATGGCAAAATCCGCCAAGGAAGTAATATGGCTAACCTAATTACCACAAAGCCTTGCCCTCACAATTCTCACTCCAATTTCAATTTTCAATAATAATCAAGAAGCCATTCCTCTTATCAAAAATCCAATATTTTATAAACTGACCAAGCATGTCAAAAACAAATACTTCTTTCTTTGCAAACTCTGAGAAAAAAAATTTTAAATTTTAAAATATATATATATATATATATCCACTAAACTCTACCTAGGGATCATTCGGCTTCCTTCATCCGAATAATCTAGATCAATCACCAGCTTCCTGTACGTAAATCAACGTAGACCTTGGAATAGATTAGACTTTTGGTTTTACTAAAAGCGTAGAAGTGTACAAAACTGTTCGTAGCATCTTGAATACAAATTGAGTAAAGTGGTTCGAAGTGCACTTGCATAGCTTTGTACAGATTGTACATGTGATACTGCTTCTGCATTTACCTCTGATGAATTGATAAAGTTCAATAGAGAGGCACTGCGCCTCAAAATCACAACTCGAAAATCGATGCACAATTTCCGAGATCGGTGCGATCCTTACGATGGAAAGCAAAAGCAGAAGTCAACCTAGGCTAACATAATCTGATTTCTATTCTTATTTTCTTTTTTAACTTCTTAGAAATAAAACTTCTAGTATTTACTAAGTCAACTGGATGCGGGAACTGATTCTCCACCGCACCGAAGAATCGAAATCTCGGGACGCTTCTGTTTATGGCATGCCTGCAACGATCTAGATTTCTTATTCAAATTTGCGCGTTTGTTGTGAATGCATAAACTCGCTGCAAAACAAAAATACAAATCAATCATTTGCGGGAGGTTCTCTCTTTGGGGACATAGGTACTGAAGGTTTACTAGGTGGTGTCATCCTCTGAAGCAGTTTTCGACCTGAGTTCAATTTCCTTACGATGTCGTTGTGAAGTAGTGACTCGCTGTCCATGTCACCCTGCCACACGACGATACTCTTAGGAGGGTTAACGAAGCGAGTGCCCAAGATCCCATCAAGCCTGTACTCGCCAGGTTTACGAACACAGAATTTGGAGGATAAGTGAGTCATCTACGTGGAACTAAGCAGTATCTGACATCGATTTTCATCAAAGTGTTTGCAGATGACTCACCGTTACCTCGCGATTACTCGGCAAACTGTCCTCTGCATGAAGCTTGTGAATGTGGTATTGACGCGTTCTGAGTCCTGCGAAGAGTGGAAGTGCCTTGGTTAAACTACATGCTCAACACTAACTAGAGACGCGCAAACTCGCACTATACCTCCACATTATCGCCTCAAACCTCATAACGATGGACTGTAAAACCTCAAAGTCAACCCTTCGTTTCGCCTTCTACACACTTTTTCAGGCGGAGCGGTTTGCTCACCATGAACTGAGCCAAAGTTGTCTGCAGCGAGCAGGAACAATCCCAGCATCATCACCCATGTGCATCTTGTAGCCCAGCTGGCCATCTTTCTATTTAAATGACACGGCTATCAAACTTGTTCGCGATCTGGAACAATGGTTACATCAATCTCTTCAGACTGTCCAGCCGATCGTGCGCCTGCCTTGTACGCATTGCTGGGTTCAGTCATTAGCTGCTGTAGCTACATCAAGGTAACATTCATAGGTGCCGAAGTTGGTCAAAGCAAGCGAACGAGCAGAATACTCCAAGTTCGATATCGAGTTTCTCGACCTATTCAAAAAGTTCATAACAAAAGTCTAAAAGACTTGAACAGTAGGTCAAATACGTTTGACAGCAATGTTGTCCGCGCAGGTTTCACAGAAAATTCGAGCACCGCGTTTTGAAAGTAATGAACGAGCTAGGCATGTATTGCATGCCAATGACCGCTACTGTATTTGCAGTAACACATAAGGAGTCGATGCTTTGTGAGTCGATGTATCCCCGAGGGAAGTTATTAGTCGGCAGATAAATAGATTAACCTTATCCGGAGTTACTGAGTTCCAGTCGGTAACCGCGTCGACCAGTTCCGGTGCAGTTTCGACTTGAACCAAATCGTCGGATGGGATACAATACTCCCTCACCGGTTGAGAGTGAACCATCTGGCACCAACAGATCCATGTGGGTCGAACGAGACGACGAAGCCAGTCAAAGTTTCTTGAAAACAATTGGCAAGGTTGCGTGGGCTGGGAGACAGTGCTGAGGTTCAAACCCGTGGTGATCCACATGCTGGGACTGTAGCGTTGCATTACCGTGGCCAGTACTCTTCAAAGCACCACAGGAACAAAATGCAGCGGCGTGATCGATGTGCAACCAGCACTATATTTCTATCTTCCGAGACAATCATACTTCGACATTCGGTTGCCTCAGTGCTTGGTCTGCATTTCATCTGCTCTTCTCCATTCCTCGTTTGCGCAGGTCGGAGAGGGTTTAACCCAAGTTCTTCAAGCAAATGCGGAAAATGGAAACAAAGTTCAGAAGGTCAAAAAACAAAAACAAAAAACAAAACAAATCAAAACAAGAGATTAATGAAAAGTTCTTTTTTGGTACAATTTTAGATGCAAAAAAAAGGGATTTGGAGCTAGGATGAGCAACTTGAGCTAAAGTTACCAAATTTACATCTATTGCCATGCTTATATACAGATTAGAAGTTTTAAGAAGTATGTAAGAGATCAAAAGATAAGATTAGAAATCTTGTCAGAAGCGCTATGTTTTATATTTACAAGTTTTTAATACGAAGTTTGAATTAGAGAGATATAGATAGTTAAAGTTATTAAATTAAAATTTAGGAATTAAGAGAAAAAAAATTATAAGGAGATTTTTCTTTGAGGTATATTCTGAGTTCTTAAACAAATCAGAGACTAAAAATTGTCAAAAGTATATATAACATTATAAAAATATCAAAGAAATTAAGTTTTGTATTATTTAGATTGCAAATTTATAAATAAAAAAAAAAAAAAAAAAAAAAAAAAAGACTTATTTAGCACATGGACATTTAGAAACAATGTTAATAACACTCATTTGAGCTTTTAAAGATATCCTAAGATTGATAGGAAATTAATGATTAGATTGCTTTATGGTAAAAGACAATGATTTGATTGTTTGAAGAATTTTAATACACTTTGATTGTTTTTTTTGCAAATATTTGTTGTTAATAAACCTCATCTTACAAGACGAATTTTTAGAAATTTGCATCATGTCTAATGTAAATTAGAAAAATGTCTTAATTATATTTCTAATTTTTTTATATTGCCAATTTTTTAAAAGTTTATCTTTGGTATAAATATCAATATTGTTATTAGAGTTGTCACCAAAATATAAACTTAGAACAATGTTAACAAGAATTATAAAGTTAGTTATTTATGTATCAATATTTTTAACAAAGAAGATTAGTACTTAAAAAATAGATGGCTTATAAAACTACTAATGTTTGTAGCAATAATAACCTTGTAGATAGATTTTTTTATTATATTTTATTTCTTGCAAGTATTCTTTTGTTGATAGTTGAAGGCTCTCTTGACCATAATCATCTTTTTACTATTTCCTATCATCTTTACTTCTATTTTAAGACTTAGATTTCTTAAAAACCTTTAAGATTTTTTTCAAATATTTTTATTAGAAAAGTAGGAATAATCACCAAATCCATACAACTAGCTTTTGAATACAATTTGTGGTGCTAATGAAGATATAATATTTGTTTCTCATACTTTATCTTATAATTATTTTTATTTCTATTTACCTACAATATACTTGTTGAACATGACTATACAAATAAACAATGGCTTTACTTTATGCATCTTTACTAAGAATATTTTGAATTTTATGAGATTCAATTGGTGAATCTAATAGTGATTTTAGTCAATATTAAAGATTTCATCAATCATATATATCTTAGTAATATGTTTAGTTTATTTTTCTTTAGCATGTTAGTAGAATCTCTTTATATTTATCATCTAAAGTTTTTGGCATTTTTAATAAAATATTTGTATTAACAAATATATTTTATAAATATAATTAATAAAAAATCTATTACAAACATATCTTTATATGAGTGATCTTATTTTGTCATTAATTCTTAATATTTATGATATCAATCTTTCTTATAAACTTTATAAAAAAAATATTTAAATCCTAAATGCTAATAATTATCAAAATATAATTGATCTACATGGTTTAATAGTAGACTTTTAATATAAAAATATTTATTTATCGACTCTTAAGATAATAATACATAAAAATAAATAATAAATAATAAAAATGACACAAGTATGTTTAAGTAATAGTTTTTACTTATTCCATGTGATAACATCAAAAAAATATTGTGAGGCTATTCTTCCAAAGAATATCAAACTAATTTGTTTATCTAAAAAGATAAAAACCCTACAACCAAAATGTATTCTATCAGACAGCTAATATCATATACAAACAATTGGCCAACCACCTTCTTAATAAAGCATTGAGCTCACACATAATGCTAATGCTTAAGATTCTATGTGTAATATTTGATTATACTACATTGCTTGTTTGTCAAAAGCTAATATTAATACACAAAATTGTAAAAAAAAAAAAAAAAAAAAAAAAAAAAACTATTAAAAATAGAAATTATAAATTATAATTGAATTCTAATCAAATCCTAATGTAACTTTTAACAAATCCTAATAAAATCTTAAATCCTAACCCTAAAGCAAACCTTAATGAAATCCTATTGAAATTCTAATCAAATCTTAGACCAAATCTTAATCAAATCCTAATCAAATCCTAATTCTAACTAAATCCTAATTAAATCTTATATCCTAATCAAATCCTAACAACTCCTAATGACATCTTAAATCCTAATTTTGAACAATTTCAATAAAATCCTAAATCAATTACTATAGTTATTTTAAAATCTCAATAAATATTAACTAAATCATTGATCATAACTAAAATTTCACCTATATTTTAATTCACAAGTAATTTATAATCGTAAAAAAATTGAAAAGAATCAAATTTGTCAATTGAAAGAAAAGCTCCCAAAATCTGTCAAATGTTGGCTACCCTCCTTTTCCAACTAAAATGTTGGTCTCTCAACAAAAAAAAATTCTTGTTCAATTGTTTAATTGCTCTAAAAATTGGCTAGTGTGTAGATATTTAAGTCTAAATTGCTCTCACCAATTTTTGCTCCAATCAAAAATGGTAAATGTTGCAAGATTGTGAAAATCCTCACTAATCCTAAAAGTTAATTATCCAAGACCATAACCCACAAAAACTCTCACAACCTTCAATCTAATTGCTTGTTTGACATCAAATTTTTTAGAGACATTTATAACAAGTACAATGACAAATTGAAAAATTTTCACTTGTAATTAAGCTATGACACTCACAAAATCATCAAATTTGTGAACATTTTTTTATTCCTTAAAATCCAAACCCATAGAATACATCTCTTACTTTAAAAAGCTCTCAAAACCTCAAAATACCTTCAAATCACACAAAATCAACTCTTAAAAATCTTCTCACAAGTTTGCTCTCAAATCCCACTATTTGATCAAGTAAAGAACCTTGGAGTCACCATAGATGCATGGTTTTGTGCCTTGGGGTCTGATTTTGACCTTGGTTCACAATTCGTCCTCTCTGAGTACCAATTCTTCATATTTTGAGATAATTTTTGCTAAAATATATTCTTAATCTTCTCTTAAAAATGCTTATATCTCATTTACTTTGATTTGGCTCATTTATGCCCATACAAAGTAAATAGAAGTCGCTTCTACATATAGGCAACATTAAGACTAAAGTTTTTACTATCTTTTTATTATTTATCCTTGTTTTTCTACTATATCTTTCTACTAGGCTCTTCTATAATAAAATACTTTCTTTCTTCTTTTACCTAAGAATTGGTTGTATTACTCCACAACAATACGAAGACAAAATCAAGTAATGAAGGAATCCATCATGGAAAACTAAAGTGGATAACAACAATAAAATAATGCACTAGCTCACGGTTAAAAACCATTCCAAAGATATTGAGAAGTTGCTTCTAAAATTGTCTAATATATCAGCAACTTCTACCAAGACATATATGTCTAGAACATTGAAAACTAGAATAGAAGATATTGTTTACAATGGAAGAAAGTTAAACATACATAATATATTATACAATTGTAGCAATGAAAGGCCAAGAATAAGGGCAAATTACGGAACAAGTCTAGCATGGTATAACATGATTCGGCAAAAACAACCACTACTACCATGGAAAAAGCATATCAAGCTAAATCTCTATGCTACCTTCAATGTGCTACTACTAATAATTAATAACCTTTGATAATTAATATTTTTTTCTACAATAAATAATACTAATTAACAATAAAATCATTGTCTACATTAACAGATGTGAGAATATATATATATATATATATATATATATATGTGTGTGTGTTTAAGTATTTATTTATACATACAAATATGTCAATACTACATATTAATAACAATGATTTTAATACTTGAATGTATTACGATTTTTAGAATTAAGATGAGATAATAATAATAAATGTACAAATAAATAAATAAAACATGATACTGAAAAAAAATTAATTACAAAATTGAGGTTTAAACATTCTTTTAATCCTTTATATAATTTAGCATTACACTGTTAAATTATTCAATAAATTTTAAAAAATCCAATTGCTATCTTTTACAAGCATGTGCACAATTGAAGCTGTGAAAATCATTTCACAGAATTTAAGTAATCAAAAGTAATGAACAAAAAGAAATGCAAGCTGGTACAGGGATGATCAGATAAAAGATGAAAGAATATGCAGTGAGTGACGCATCTAAACAAACCACACAAGAATATAGTGAGATAGAGGTATTAAAACTGAAGAAATAAAATGCAATTACGAGAGAAAAGGTGTTATGAAAAAAAAAAAACCTTAAGAAAAGGCAAGAAAGAGTGCAGAAAAGCCAAGGAGATTAAAACTTCTAAACGCGAGCTTTCTTCTAATCCCCGTTTCAAGAAAATTCAAGAATTCTCAAAGCCTAAATAACTTTAAGAAATCCTTGGCCGTCAATGGATTTTCAAGACCCTGGCTTAGATGTGCAAACAAGTAGTGTCTTCTTGAGATATCATCTAAGCCTCTTGGCGTATACAGGAGTACTTCCGACTTCATACCCATTCCCTATGCTTTGCACTTGATTGAAGCGTTGAGGGTCTAACCAGGGTTCGGATGGTTTGAACTGGGATGACTCAAAGAGCAACCTTAGAAACTGAACGGTTCCAAATGAAACGCCATGTCTAAAGAATGCTACTCTGTAACCTCACGACCAGCTGGGCAATCTGTTACACATGGGTAATGGCTGATGATGAAGAGGTTGAGAATCATCACAAAGTTCACTTTCATGAGGCGAGAGTATTGAGGATCATCCTCAACGAGAACCCATGGCAACAATTGTAAGCTTCAACAGATCAATAAAACGAATTACAAGAGTTGAAGGACATCAGAAAAATTAACTTCTGCTCTCGATCGATCCCCAGGGTCTAGTACCTAAAGAACCATTGCTTCCTCGGTAACTTCTTCCTTTTCTTCCTCCATAGAAGCCATGTCATCCTTAAAAAGAAGTTTCAGTGCAGGTAAGAGGGATGGCAGCAAGGGTAAATCAGCTAAATTGACACTCATCATATCAAATGCTATACATGTCTGGGAAGTGTAGCTGTCATCAAATACAGGTATTTTGGGGTACCGTTGACTGAAGTGAGTTAGAATGGTGCGGTAAACTCCAGCAGACACCCCTGTTTCAATTGCCTCTCTCGTTAGACTGTGCTTCTTGGCGTAAGCCTCCTCCGGCATGCTGTCATCGAATGTGGCCTGCACATGCAAAATAATTTTCAGTTCTAGCGAGAAACTCAGAAAATGAATGAATAAATAAATAATCCAATGGCAGGCAGTTAAACGAATTAGTAGGAGATGCAAGGATGCGACCAAGTACCTCGTGTATGAGTACTGTAGCACCCTCAGAGGCATCGACAAGAGCTTGGCATGGCCGAGTGTCTCCAGAGTAGACAATCTTCCATCCCTTTCTTCTTTTACCATCGGGCTGAGTTCGGGCTTCCGATTCCAGGACCACTCCAAATGCATGGGGACAGTGCACAACTGGAACGCTTGTAAGGCTAGCGAGTTTCAGAGAAGATAAAGTCTTCCGCAATTTATCACGCCCCGACCAGTCTATTCCTTCCATCAAGTTGGCCCCAGGTAGAAGCCAATAGTTTCGCATCTGCCCTTTTTTAGGCGATGTTTTGCTGTTTGAATATGATCTTCTTACGAGTCCAATTCGTGACGAAGCAGTAGCAATCTCCTTCTCTGGACTTCTACTGGAATTGGGAGTTTCAACAATATCTTCTGTATCACTTCTAGATGCAGCTTGCTCAACCTCAGCAATATCATCCGCGTCGTATGTGGTTTGACTACAATCTACAAACTCCATGCCCAAATCTTCAAGTTGGCCATATGCGTCCAGGAAACGCTTCAGTTGCTTGGGCCCTATAACTAATACAGGAGAAAAAGCCCCTCTAGCCTCTAAAATGGCCTTCCGGACAGCGAGAATCCTGACAAGCCCTGTATGATGATCAGCATGAATGTGTGATATCCAAACAAGCTTGAGACCTGCCAGGACGTCGTCGGTTTGAGATCCATACCTGCTCCAGAAAGCAGATTGAAGTAATGTCAGAGACGACCAAAGAAGTATTCAGTTGATGTTTGAAGACCACAACTTCACCATGATTAGTCCCAAGAAAACAATTAATATGTAAAAATCAATACTCTTGGATATAACTGAGATAGAGTGATTTGGAACAAGACAAGCTAAGGAACGGAGCAGTACCTTCGCCTCAATTGAGCGTATGAACCCTCTCCGCAATCTAATATAATCCCCCCTCGTTCGAAGAGGTGCATATAAATGGCACTCACATTCCGATACTTTGATGGCTGTGACGAACCAGTACCTAAAAATACAATTTCCATTTCCTCCCTTGTAATTCCCTGTAGACACGGAGGGATGTCTTCCAGAGAGATTTTATTTAAAGTAAGAGATTTCGATCCTGCAACAGTTTCTTGAACTTCAGATTCGTGATTTTCACCATGTAACTCCACAATATCTGTTTTGAATCCACCAACACCCATATTACAATATAAGTACAACATTTATATTAGAGTAAGAAAAGCTGGGATTCACAAAATATGAAATTCTACGAGCTCATGCAAGTATGAAAATTCCAACCACTGATTGATGTAAGCAAAGTGAAACTCCTAACAAGTCGCTGGTTAATAGTCATGGTTCTGCGAAGCTTACGAGAAGCTGTACCACTAAGCAAGATTGCTAAGCTGAGATACATTGCCAAAAACCATTCAAATGAAAATGAAATCAGCTGTAGTAAGGTCTACAATACGCAATCGGAATACCCAATTTCATACCAGATGATGGTGCAGCAGTAGTACCAGCATGGTTTGTACGTGTAACAGGGGTACTTTCCATCAACCAAGGCTCTTCACAATAATACTTCGTCACTTCATCCATGCTCACTAGGGCATCTGCACTAACTGATTCTATTGACGTGGACTTCCAAAAATCAGATATTTTATTTGTAGCTTCAAGAAGCTCAGGAATGTCAAGAAGCATCTGATCTTGAACATGCTGCATGCTAAACGGCTCGGGCACAGCTGAGCGGTCCAGGCCAAGACTTGACAATGGCCTCAAGCGAAACTGCCACACAAGATTTGCCCGTAATACATTAAATAAGAAGATGAAGATATGCTCATCCAATCATCGACCATGTCCATGTTAAAAGCAAGGGCTCTCAAATCAGATTTTTGGAAGTATTAGATTTTTAGAACAAGCTAACGAGACGTAAGAGAAAGTACCTTCAATAGATTTTCACCAACAGATATAAGGTCTAACGATGAGTCTTTTTCCTGCAGCAAGAACATCAACCAAGACAATTGCATCAAGCCAGCACCAACAGGATATGTGTATTACGAGTTACTATTTTAATCCTTAGGTAATCTTTATCAGAATCACGTAAATAGGATTTTCCTGACTTATCCAAGAAAAAATTGCTCCAATTTTTCAAATATGACGCACTTTGTAGATCAAATGAACCAACAAGACTAGGACCCACAGCGAAAGTGCGAACTGAATAACATGACAGCAACACTAACTGCAAATTTGAGAATTTAACAAAAAGATATTCAGATATACCTGCGTGTCCTTAATCTGGTCCTGTCGCCCGCTCGATTGCAGGCCTGATATAGGAAAGACTTGTGGACAAATACGATTTAAGCGTGAAACCACCCTGGCACTTGACTTCAGAACTGGTTGCGACATGTTCAGGCTGCCCAATTACAAGATCTGATATAAATATTGCATCATTCAACATTTCTAACCATATATGGACAAGCTTGATCTTGACTGCCATATAAAAGGTAAACAACAAAGACCACACAATGAACGGCGCTGAGGAACTTGAATTTAAAATTTCTAAAAAGGCCGTATTTACATAACATGAGCATCATTCAAAATGTGGAATTTAGTTACGATCATCATAATCAGATAGAGGTACTCACGTGCCATGCCCAGTCATCACATGTTGCGCTCCAGCAAACCGTGACATCCAGCTTTGATATTCAGGGAGTTGAGAAATAGAAGCTGGGCTAATATGCACAACAAGGGTAACTTGCTTAGAACCCTGATCCTGAAAACTGCAGAGCACAGGATTGGTAATTAATGCTGGAATGTAGGCAGCAGTTGGACAGTCAACCAGGATAAAGATAGGGCCAGGAGATGAAGGGTCCATAACATCTTCAGGATGCACCTGCAAAGCTCAGAACCATGTTTTTCAGTACAGAGAGCAAGCGTACAAGGAGCAAGATAGCAGAATAGGATAACTTGTGTGATCACAAGAGGTCCAGAGTAGATATCTAACCATTGTTACGCCATCACTTGCCAAGACGGACTTCCCCGATTGAAGCAGACCGTAATGAGGCCCTGGGCGGTTGAAGAACTTCCGAGCCTTCTCAATATCAAACCGACCTTTAACTTCCGGAAGTTCACAGACGTATGCAACTGACACATCATAACTCTCATCTGCAAATGAGGACTCAGCGGTAGTTTCCTCTACTCGTGCACGCTTTGACCCTGTGCAAAGGGGCACATTTTAGTACATGCTTCAGGTGTAAACACGAGGATTTTGTAATAAGACAGCTGGAAAGATACCAAATATCAGAGAGAAGTCAACCAAACCAGTAGAAACAAGCCAACGAGCACGACGACTCCCAAAACAGGTAATTAAAAGAGACGGATCCATTACATAGGTGCCATAGTACTCACAGAGGATGTCTTTCCAGAAAGGTTGCAAGTTTTAGTTGGAAAAACCATCACCAACATCCCTTCCATGCGAACACTATGATAGATCTAAGGCAGACTCATTTCAGGTTTAAGGCACGGATTTCACAAGGTCCTGTGCACATCAAAGTTCTTACTTTTCTTATCACTGGGTAATGAAGTCTGCGAACGGAGTAGGACAGCAGTAATTTTCACCACGTCATCTTCCAGCAGCACTTCTGACGATTTCTCTGCTTGAGCCTTAGTCCCTTCATTACGAGAACCTACTGAACCACCGAAGCTGTGGGTGTGGACGACGGAGGCACCTGGCACAAAAGTGCGCATCGCATCTACAAGATATTTAAGTTCGGAGGGACCCCAGATATTAACCTGTTGGCATCCAGTCAAAACAAAAAAAAATCCAATCATGGCGTCAAATGACACAAAATATTTAGAAAAAAATTATCCGAAGAAGATTCTTTATAACACAAGAAATAAACACCAAAAAACTTTATCAACTACACATGGCCGAAAAAGAGAAGAATGCGCATAAGAAATGCTTACCGCCATGCCAGCATCGCCAATGCCTGCCAACGTAAGAAGGAGCCCTACACAAGCATTACACCAAGGTAAGGGTAGTGTGGCTCGCAAGAAAGCAATATATCAAAAGGATGAAGGTTTAGTAAACATTGAACACAGATAAGGTACAACCAGCATAGAGCATTCACTAGCACCAGGCGCAACGCTACCACGGTATCAGAAAAGAAAACAATATACATACCAGGAAGCCCACCAGCAGTTTCTGAGCAAACACGGGTAAGAAAAATATGATCGATCTGTACAAAGCAGATAAGATATATTAGGTTGGATCGTTGCCCATGAACCTGTAGCATTCTACACCTCTTCCGACTAAGCAAGCTAACAGCAACACACTGAATTATGAAATTGCCACAAACAGGAAACCGAAAGTACTTTTTTCAGGCAAAGATATGACAGGAGTAAAGAGAGGCCAACAATGAGAAGCCACATATCACCAGGTAAAAGTGAGCACAACCTCTTAGACAAATTGAGAGAAGCTGCATACCTTGGACAACTTTATTTTATGCTCTATGCAAAATCGCTGAAGTCCCTGTGAGTCAAGTCAGCAATGCCATTAATCAATGAAGACAGCATGATATCTGCTGTTCAATGTCCGTTTTGATAGGGATGAACATTCACGTTTCGAGGTAAATTACCGCATCGGATATGAACAAGATGTCCCATGCTACTCAAATGCATACACAAACGACTGAAAGTGTTGTTCTTCTCGAAAGAACATATACACTACCTTAGACCTGCGAGAAAGGACCATAAAAATCACAGATAATACTGCACATGGCATAGAGGTTCACACCTCTTGGACAGCAATAACTCAACGCAACATTAGAAACACCAATACAAGCGAAATCATGAATCCATGGCTCGCCTACCTCTCCAGCGTTAAAGATAAATCGCCGCTGATCAAAAAATAGAAGAACACAAGGTGATGTATCGCCCGTGTCCATGCCTGTCCCAAGAATCTGCGAGTTCCAAGTATTGTCATTGAAATACTTTTTTTAAAAAGGAAAAAAAACAAAACAAAACAAAACAAAACAGCAAGGACAACACCAGCAATATGTGTGTGTGTTTGTGAAAATGATACTAGCTTTAAGCATTCTAACATCAATGTTGCTCAGCTTCTAAGGGCTTGCGCTTCTTACTTAAAAACAAACATAGTCTCGATTCGATTTCGTAGCTGATGAGATTCTGAACACGTCAGTAGCAGCGAACTTACTTCCAATTCAGAATTCCACTCGGACTAGTGATCAGAGTGTAAAATTTTAGTATCTTAATGAAGAATACCTGGACAAAGCTGATTGTGCTACTGGGATTCGTCATTACATTGCGCAGCGACAATTGTTTTGGCCCAGTGGGCCTTGCCTTCTTCCCCATGTCTGAAACAGGTCTTTCTTTGGGTGGAGCCTTGGTGTGAGTACGTCGAATTGATCCAGTTCTGCTGGAGCGACCTTCTCTTACCTCGGCCCCCGCCTTTTTGTTTCTAACACTACTCAAAACCTGGTACATTTTACATGAGAAGAAACGAGAAAATCCGCTTAGAATTGGTTACTCGCTATAAATGCAACCGCATCATCCAAAAACGCCCTGAATTCGACTATCACTCCCCCGAATCAAACGACATAATGCAGAAAAAAAAGCTCCACCGTTACAGAAAAAAAAGCTCCACCGTTACAGAAAAAACATACTCAAGCAAATTCATTCCCTTCAATTCTGACTCCGTGCAAACCTGCAGGCTGAAAGACTGCGTGGACGAGCTCCGCACGCCAATTCTCCCAAACCAGCTACCTCTCAGCAACAAAGAACTACTGGCACTAGAAAAGAAACTACTACCGCGAAACTGCGACCAATTCTGCACAAAAGCACTGCCCGACAGACTAGCTCTAGTCCACGATGAGGCAGGAGCGGAGCCAGGCCCTCGGAAGCGCGATAGCGAGGGGACAGGGAAATGCCAGTGATGCATGAGAGGCCTGTGCAGAGACATGGAGGAGCGAGTCGAAGCTCCGAAGCAGGGGCGGAGACTTCGTCCAAGCTCAGCCTGCCTGTGGCTCTGGCTATGGTGTAAAGAGCCAGTTTGGTTGCAAACACAGGAGGGGCTAGGGTTTGGGGGATCCCGTGAACCTCAAGCCTTGTCGCAGCGTCGGTTTCCCTTAAACCGCCACATCCTGTCCCCAAGCTAGTTTGGGCTTTGCCTCTACACGGATGCATAACTCTCAAGATGACGGCTTCGTGGATGGAAAATATCTCCCATCATTGTTCATCCACTGATGAATGTCGTGGATGGGGAATATCTCCCATTATTTTCATCCATTGATGACTTCGTGGATGAATACTCCCTCGACGAATGACGCCCGTCGACCACCTCCACAGCCACATGTCGGGCAGCACGTTTGGGGCAGCTGTAATTAAATTAAATCCATTTATTACTTGTAATTCTGCGAGGATTGACCTTAAGTTCAAAGAACTCTAAACAAAGTTAATTTGATTTCTATTTATGGGCATTTTCCTCCTCAAAAAGTGGAGCAGGTCATCTTTATTTCACTGAAATACTAGCACTTGGAGTACTTTTAATATTCCCTTTTAGGTGCCAATTACCATCTGCTTTTGATAATCTAGTTTTGGTTTAAAAATGATTTTATGACTTTGATAATTTTATATTTATTTTTATAGTTCAAAGAAAAAAAATTCAGTTTGATTTTAAATTAAAATCAAACAAGTAATACAAATAGATATGTTTGTTTAACGAAATTTGTGACGTTTATTATTTTCTATAAATTATAGTAGACTTTCAAAATTTGTGAGGATATGTTAGGTTTGCTTATTATTATCCTGATCTCCAATATATCACGGAATTAAAGTTTTAAATAAATACATTTATTTTATAAAAAAAAATCAACAACATATATATATATATATATATATATATATATATAATTTACTTATTCGTACACATACTTTAAAATTCAATCCATCATAGATCCAGTAGTAAAAGTGAGTATTTTTTCTATAACACATGAAAAATTACTATTTGGAGAAAAAAACCTTGTATCTTGTTAAGAATATATTTACATAAAATTAGATCCTATATTTCTGAATCTGAATATTAATTATTAAAAAAAATGATAAGAGTTTTCACAAATATTTAAGCCATGTTTTACTAATAATTATATATTTTTATTGTTTCTTGTACATATTTATGTAAATAAGAATAATAACGATAAATCATTAATTTTGTGTAAACTGATAAAACCTCAAAACACACAATTCTAATACATGTAAAGTATGATCTTTTAATACAAATCAAATATTATAGCTAATAAAAATAAGTCATCAAATAATTTTATAAGTGGTTTCAAGAAAAAGGATATATTATTTTTGAAAGGAATTATTGACTCATGTTTTATTGATGTTTTTTAGCATTAGCCTTGAGCTTGAAAGATTTCTTTTGACAGAAAAAAATATCTCAAGTCTTCACATCATGAAAACCACATTATCAGTAACATTTTACATAACATTTTGAATTGTGGTATGATTTACAAAACCGGACTGAAATTATTTTCAAAAAAATTACATGAAAGTTTTTGAAAAGATTCATACTGTGTAAAACTTTTAAAATTTGAACAATTTTTTTTAAAAAATAATATTAAATTACAGAAATACAATTTTGTTACAAAATTATGATACCGAAGAAATACTTTAATAAAAAAGATGAATTATATAATTAAGATCTAAAAAATACGGGCAGTCTAAAATTATTGGCAATTATAACATATTTTTGTAAAAATAGAGCAAAGGTTATGAATGTCATAATGTAATATTTTTAATTAAATATAAGTTTAGCTAAATTACTAAATTACTAAATTACATTGTGCATTCTTTGACGGTGATAAGCAATATCAGTCATATTTGAAACAAACAAAATTCATTTAAAAAAAATTGAATCACTTCTTCTAACAAATATGGAATATTATTTGAGGTTGCATTTTTTATTTTTTATTTTTTATTTGCGGTGAAAAGAATATCCCATGACTAATCCGACACGGAACTAAACCTACTTTGTAGAAAATACATTTCTTCATTAGTTTCTACTAACACCACGTTGCGGTGGATACAGGGGAATGATATTGTCTAATTACAATCGGCGTGGTTCGATCCCATCACCAGTTGGCGACGACAGCATTGTTGGCTAGATGGGTCAGGAGATCTTTGGTCCAATCGGTGAATTCTTCCACATCAGCACAAATCCTCCACGAGAACCAATGAGGAGTCCCTTCCACATCATTGATACTTCGTTTCCAAGTGGACCACCAATTTCCTTCCACGGTCCCACAACGAGCAATTTACTTTGCATTTCTATAACCATTGTAATTTTTTCGTCCCACTGCCCAGCCCGTTCGGCGTTGGCACAGTGCCACTGCTGCAGAGAAAGTTCTAGAATACTTTTCTTCTGTATAATCTCTCGGGCAGTATTACAATTCACGCATTCTTCCAGATTGTGGACTTATGTAGTTGTTAGCCCAGTGTCCTCAGGCATTGTTGCGGCGAGACGGACAAGCTATGGCGCGTCTTCAGTTCATGGATCGGCGTCTCTCATCTCTGCTTCTGCTCTGCTTGCTACTGTCGTTCTCCTCCCTGCAGCTCAACTCCAATGGTATAGCCTTTGTTGTTTTTGAGCTTTTCTCCCCTTCCTTTGCTGTTGTCGTTGTGTTATTTTTTTTGTTCACATGTAATGTTTTATTTTTGGCTGTGAGGTGGTTCTGATCTTGGGGTGGAAGTAGGGTGATCTGATTTTGAGGCGGCTCGGGTGTCGACTTCAGGGATATAGATGGTGTGCTTTTGTGCGATTTTAGGAGTTTGTTTTTTGTATTGGTTATTGTCGGCTTAGCGTAAGGGACGGTTCGAGGTTCTCTTTTCGTGTTTTTGCACATTTCTTACAGATCGTTGTAAGGTTGGGTTCTGCAATGCAGGCCGCAAAGGTTTGGAAATAGGTTTAAAGAATCGGTTTATAGTTTGTGCGAGGTTCGAAAGATGTGCTGGCAGATTTTGCCTTTGGAGGTCTGGGGATGCTAGCTCATAGTGTATATCCTTGTGGTTGTTTTGGTACTGTCTCCTGTTAGTTGTCGGTAGCAAAGAGAATGTGCTCGTGCTTGACTTTGTCACGGTAGAGTAAGCCTGAACTTCGTGTTCGGTGGCTCCAATTCCGTGGGTAACAGTTTATGCATCTTTCTTTCGATGAACTGTGATTTTTTCTTATCTTGGAGGTGCTCGGCAGTTGCTACGCGATCCATTTTCCAGGTCCAACATGTAATGAGACAGTTCTTCACGTATGGACGTAGTTGAAAGGTGTTTAGGGGTTTCAGTTTCTCAGTTGGAATCGTGGAATTTTACCTCGGCCATAGGTGTTGTAGATATTCGCGTTGAGGACTCAGCTGTGCGATCAGAATTATATCATCAGTGAGATGTATTATCTTATCATTTCTGGTTCTGTTTCGTATCTCATGGGGGTGTATGTAGTGCAGGCCGTTCTGGACGAGCACATGCGCAGGAAGAATCGAAAATAGATGATGGAGCTCTCCCAAAGTTGGAAGAGAACCTTGGGGCTGTGCCTGCTGGTTCCACCACTGATTCTGAAGTTGTTAAAAGGTACATTACATGAGATCACTGGTTTCATGTATCTGTGTATGTAACCTCTCTTGGGGTTCTACTTCTGGAAAGATTTTAAACAGTTAATTGTGAAAATTAGTCATTGATCATGTCATGCATTTGGAAGTCACTCTATTTGTTGCACGTAAATTCATGCTGACAGTGAGGGTTCTTGTTTTCGACATGCAGGGAGAGTGAGTCTATGACTTCCAAGAATCTCAGAAGCAATGCTGAGAAGTTTGAGTTCCAAGCTGAAGTCTCAAGGTTGATGGATATCATCATCCACTCTTTGTATAGCAACAAAGACATCTTCCTTCGCGAATTGATCTCCAATGCTTCTGATGTAAGTTGCAAATTTCTCCGCAAGCCAATGACTTCTCAATTCTTAATTAATTATATATCTCATCACAGTTTTATTAACTTCCAAATTTATCTATCGGTGGTTCGATCGCTGTCTGTACTTTCTTCGTGGACATTGAAGAGTCGTGTAAAATTCGTGTCCAATGTAGCTTGTGAAGTCTGGCTTTGTCGACTCACCGTGATTCATTCTGAGTACGCAGGCGTTGGACAAGATTCGGTTCCTTTCTCTCACCGATTCTTCAGTTCTTGGCGAAGGAGATGACGCAAAACTGGATATCCACGTAAGCGATTAATACTTTAGTCCTGTTTATCTTAGGTTGGAATTGTCACACCTCTCTTCAATTTACCTGTTAGCAATCAGTTGACTCGAATGTTTCTGAATAGTAACGCCGGCTGGACTATTTGTTCTACAGATTAAACTGGACAAGGAGAAGAAGGTGTTGACTATTCGGGACCGTGGTATCGGTATGACAAAGAATGATCTTATCAAGAATCTTGGTACCATCGCCAAGTCGGGCACATCAGGTTAGCGAGCTGGTCTGCATGCGACAGTAATATATTAGGAAACATATCCTACAAAATTCTGTCACAGTTACTGGTATATGAATACTTGGAATGAAACTCACCTTCTCAGTGTATAGGAGCACTATCCGGATACATATGTAACTCGATCAAGTCTTTCATTAATGAAGGAATGTCTGTCTTGTGTGCGGTGTAGCTTTCTTGGAGCAGATGCAAAAAGGAGGGGATCTCAACCTCATAGGTCAATTTGGAGTTGGTTTCTACTCTGTGTATTTGGTTGCTGATCACGTTGAAGTCATTAGCAAACACAACGATGACGTGCAGTGAGTACCAACTCCGAACTTTTCGTTGACGTGCCTCAATTTCGGGAAATCTCTATGCCAACTCTTTCAATATTTCGCAGCCGTTTTTCTGTTTCTGCAACTCTACTTTCGAACCAATTGGTTGGCTAGTACTTGGATAAAACTAATTTGAGTTGTTCCTGAAAATGAGTAATTTAGGTCTGCCTATCTCTGTGCTCTGTTGTTCAACTCCTGTGAACTGTGGTGTCTGATGGGTGCCTTTTCCACATGGTTCTAGGCATATCTGGGAGTCTAACGCTGATGGAAACTTCGCCGTTACTGAAGATACAGAGAATGAGCCTCTTGGACGTGGAACCGAGATTAGAATTTACCTGAAGTCAGATGCAGCTGAATATGCCCAAGAAGATAAGTTGAGGGTGAGGAAACAAACCTGTTTGTCTAATCGATTGCTTTGTAGGGATTCTGAATTAGGTTCTCAAGTGAAGTTAGTTGTTTGCAAAGGGTTCATTGACTCGTCCATACTAACTGTGTTCAACGGCACACGTTTGCATAGAACTTCCCATTTGATATGGGACAATTAGTGATGTGTGCAGTGTAGAAGGGTGTTAAGATTTGACTTTTAATTGAGGAAGTAACTTTCTGGAGGTAAGGGACTAAATAGGTGGCAGTGTTTTTAATTTTACAGTCTAATTCTGTTGATAATTTGAGTGCAGGAACTCGTGAAGAAGTATTCTGAATTCATCAGCTTCCCTATTTACCTGTGGGCTAGCAAAGAGGTTGATGTTGAAGTGCCCGTTGAAGAGGCCGAAGAGAAGGAAGAGAAGGAAACCGATGATGCAGAAACCGAGGAAGAAGATGCCTCTGGTAAGTTCACAAATCCGAAGATCTATTTTGAAAAGCGAGTTATCGTGATCAGTCTCATTTGCAATTTGGCGATGCTAATATTTAATGCAGAACATGTACTTCAGTTTGCGTATCCCCTCGATGGTACTTAGTTTATAGCCACCTAGTGACTAAGGTTAGCTTCAATAGAAGCTGCATACGCGATTCACATGAGTGGCTAAGAAATTTATGGTGTCACTCGTGTGTGTTCGTAGAACCGAAGACAAAGACTGTAAAGGAAACTAAATGGGATTGGGAGCTTCTGAATGATGCCAAGGCCGTTTGGCTTCGAAACCCCAAGGATGTCACAGCTGAGGAATACGACAAATTTTATCATTCCCTGGCAAAGGTGAGGGTTGGACTTCAAATCCTATGATAGACTTGGCTATCTGTCAAACGTGTGATTAAGACAAGAGGTTGCCGCATGTTGAGACTTGTGGAAGTTGGTCTCTGAATCTATATGACTAGGGGAATAATCAGCTCGTCATGTTGTTGAAGTGACGGGTTGTCCTAATCTTTTGTTGTCCTTTTTTCTCATTCAGGATTTCAGTACCGACAAGCCAATGTCGTGGAGCCATTTCAATGCTGAGGGAGATGTGGAGTTCAAAGCAGTCATATATATCCCTCCTAAGGCTCCTTATGACTTGTTCGAGAACTACTATTCACAAAAGGCTTTTCTCAAATTGTATGTACGACGTGTATTCATCTCTGATGAGTTCGACGAACTCCTGCCGAAATACTTGAGCTTCCTCAGGGTGAGCACGATGCAGAATATTCAAAATCTCATAGCACATAGTGTAGCTCTTAGAGTGCATCTCCTAGAAATCCCATTCCATTGTTTTAACTATCTTCAGCGAATCGTAGTGTTGATCCAAAGAATTTTTTTCTAAGTTTCACTGACGATGTTGTGTTTTGCAGGGCATTGTGGACTCTGACACTCTCCCTTTGAATGTGTCTCGAGAAATGCTGCAACAGCACAGCAGCTTAAAAACCATTAAGAAGAAGCTCGTCCGCAAGGCTTTGGACATGATCCGACGAATTGCTGAGGAAGATGAGGATGAAAAAGTCGATGACAAGGAGACTGGTTAGTGGATTTACATGCTTGTGTTCATGAGGCTACTGTGAAGAGGTGGTGTTGTTCAATGCTCTCTGCTTTGATTGAATAATTGAATCTAGTGTAAACCTGTGCAGACGACGACAAGGAAGCAGAGAAAGAAGTATCTGAAAAGAAGGGTAAATACGCCAAATTCTGGAAGGAATTTGGAAAAGCTATCAAGTTGGGTATCATTGAGGATACCTCTAATCGAGTTCGTCTTGCCAAGCTTCTGCGTTTCCACAGGTACGATTTATTTGTTAATATAGTTTTTCTCCTGTGTAATGATGCTTTGCAGTCACCACGCTTGGCTTCTCTTTACCAAGAATTTACATTTCCTCAGCATGGTTGTCGAACAGCTGCGGCCAGTAAAGGCGTAATAGAATGTATTTACCCTTGCGTCTTGAAACAATTACGCTGTCGTAGAAGTACATGTAACGTCTTCTTATCGCGGTGTGCAGTTCTAAGTCTGGCGATAAATTGACTTCACTGGATCAATACATCTCACGAATGAAACCAGGACAGAAGCAAATTTACTATCTCACTGGTCAAGATAGGAAACTGCTGGAACAGTCTCCATTTGTTGAGAAGTTGTTGAAGAAGGGCTACGAGGTAAAGCGCTGTATCTGATTGTTTATAGTAGTTTTTGGAACATGCTCAAGCTCAACTTTTATGGTTTTGGCGCATAGTCAGACATCTCAACACTTAATGAATATGATTGCGGGTTTCAGGTCATCTATTTGACAGACCCAGTTGATGAGTACTTGACCCAAAACCTGACTGAGTATGAGGACAAAAAGTTCCAAAATGCTTCCAAGGACGATCTCAAGCTCGGAAGCAAAGATGAGAAAGCTAAGTTCAAGGAGATCAAGGAATCTTACAAGGAGCTCACCAAATGGTGGAAGGACTTGCTCAGTGGCGAAATGGTGGAGGCGGTGAAGGTAGGTTCTGTTTCTACATCTGGGTTTTATATCATGTCAATCCCCGAAACAGAAAGCGTTTTCAATGATACAGACGGTCTAACACGTGAGTCCTGGTCTATGCGAATTTTGTTGAGAGATTTTTTCATCAAGAAATGGGAGCTCGGTTATTCAACGTGTGAGCATTAAAACCGATCTATTAGAGGACTTCTCAATTTATTAAATTCTATTGCTGATGCAGGTCAGCAACCGGTTAGCAAACACTCCCGCTGTTGTTGTCACTTCAAAGTATGGGTGGTCTGCTAACATGGAGAGGATCATGCAAGCTCAGACCCTAGCTGATCCCAGCAAGCAGTCCTATATGCGTGGTAAAAGGATTCTGGAAATCAACCCCAAGCACCCAATTATCAAAGATTTGAAGGAGAAAATATCCTTGAGTTCTGAGGTGAGTTTTCACCAGATTTCCATTGTTGTCTAACCCGAAATTACAGATTCAACTGTGGAAGGTGCCCATGATTCACTGTCAATGTTCAAGACATTGTTCGCATTTACTAACTTCTATGCCAGACAGCCTTTTTACACTAGTACTTTTTATTGTTTTGCAGGATGATTCAGCGAAACAGGCAGCCAAGCTTGTATTCGAGACGGCTTTGTTAGAGAGTGGGTTTGTCTTGGAGGACCCTAAAGACTTCGCCAACCGCATTTACTCTGTCATCAAATCCAACTTGAATGTCAGTCCTGATGCTACAGTAGAAGAAGACGAAGTTGAAGAGGAGACTGAGAAGGACAGAGCTGAAAATGCCGTTGAAGACGCTCCTGATTTCCAAAATTTCCAGAATATGAATATGGATCAGGTGAGACCTAATCTTAGTTCCAACCTCGGCAATTGTCACTACCTCAATGCTATCACTTATCATTCTGAATATCGTACTTTGTATGATAATGCATATGTTGAGTAACAATTCGGTACATTTGCTCACTGAAATAACCGAGTTTTCTGCCACGTAACAGGACGATACGACGGCTTCCGAGCTGGCAGCCGAAGCTGCAGCTAGTGACGAAGTAGCTGACGAGGACGCTTCTTCAGAGAAGGATGAGCTGTAGATTTAGAATTGGTAGAGAACAGCTGCCCAAACTTGTTTGAGTGTGATCTGGGAACCTCCATGGATCAACATATTCCGATTCTTACCACATTGACTTAATAGTAGGTATATAACTATGCTAGTAACTAGCATAGTTAGGTAGGTTCCTGGAGCGAAGCAATTTTTAGGCTGACTTAGGGATCGACAACTTTTTCTGGACAGTGTCCCAGGATGGAAGTTGTCGTTTTTGATCCGGATCCTTTTTTGCATTTCGGTTTTGATGATCATTAATTTGAACTTCTTGTTTCTGTTCATCTCTTAACATGTTGGGTATTCGATGGTTAAGTGAAAGACTGGAGAACACGTCTCTGATATTTCGCATGATTTTCAACGTGGACATATTCTATGTATGGCATTTGTAATTGTGGAAGCTCCTCCTTTGACAACAAAGAAGTAGCCGCTTAATGTCATTGCATTGCGTTGCTAAAGTTTCTTTTGTGAAGATGATAACTGTGGCATAACTTCACCACCCCAAATATTGTGCTATTTGATAAAACTGGCTATGCATGCCAAGAGCATGTATCTGCTGTGAAATCTCTTGCATCCCATATACATACACAATGTAACCTTATCTCTGATGTTAAGCAATTTCCACTCGGTTCTGCTCCATTTGCTAATGCAGACAGACTTCCCAAGAGTCTTGCGTATGTGATACAGTATGGATTTCATGAAAATTACGTCCTATGAAAAAGTGGGACAATATTTCATTCATCCATAAGCCTCGTTCATTCCAGACCCAAGGGTTCGTGACTTGCTCACTTGCAAGCTAAAACCCTTTGCGTGCCAAGGGACAAGCCCCTTTGTACCTTACATATGCTCCACGACGCCATAGCCAGTGCTAGATCATCAACTCCCTCGTTTCATCATCTCTATCCTAATTTCTTTGTCTCCATTTTTTTTTTTTTTTTTTTTTTTTTTTCCTCTTTCGCCCGGCCATAACTTGTTGCTGTATGTGATCGAGCGATGCCTACATATGTGGTTTCAAGCCAGCACGGTGTGTCATCACCGCCCTTTTTATGAACACAGCTGGTGGCGGTAGCAGGGAGGAGAGCTTTGTTAGATTGGTGAGAGAAGAATTGCAATCGATGTATCGAGGTTCTTGAAGAAATTGCGGGAGAATTTGGACAGACATATTTTTTTGTTTAGGTCAGGTTGCGGTTGAAAAGTCAGAGTAGTGGAGGTGGCTTTGCATGTTGTAAGGTTTGGAGGAATTGGCTCTCAGTTCAAGAGATGGATAGGCCGCCGGAAGGAGGAGATGGAGCGGAAGCGGAGGGGCTTCGAGCGTCAGTGGTGCAGCTGTTTCAAGAGGATATTGTCCAAAGTTTGGCAAATCCAGGACGGATTGGGATGGTGACGAGGGTTGGAGGGGATTCGTCGGATTCAGATTCGTCGGACAGTGAGGATGAGGCAGAAGACGACCATGATCGTACTCTTGCGGAAGGCTCCGCTCGCATTGTGTGGATTGATTCTCAGGAGTCAGTAGAAAAGGTGGCGGACTTGCAGGTGGTGGACAGGGCGTTCATGCATGGCGATATTGTGGCGTTGGCGTCCGATCCATTGGGGCAGACGGGGACAGTTATGGACGTTGACATGGCGGTTGATCTGGAGACATCCAACAAGGAAGTAGTGAAGAACATCGACAGCCGGCTTCTTCGTCGAGTACATCTCTTTCTTTCTGCTTGGAGTTTTTCTCTTTCATTTACATTGCTAGTTTGCAGCTCAGTGACGTTTCCCAGGAGCTAATGCTATGGGAATGTCACTTCTTTTGTCGGAGACGCCAGTGTTTCGCGTGCAATAATCCCATCAACCCTGGGAGTTTCATTATAAAAAGCTATTACCTCTGCTGTTGTGTAATTTAAGATGAAAAATTAGGCTAAGCGAATCCCTAGACGTGTGCTGATTCCGTTCAGGGTGTGGTTTCTCCTATCTTACTCTTCCTTATCCCATGAATCGAGTTCGGATGTTAGCTTAGCGCTTGGGTTAGTAATTTCACTAAGTGATGAGTTTGAATATTTGTCCCCAAGCATTTGCAAACCTAAAGCGCTTCACACAATTCTTTTGAATTAGGGTTTACACTGCGAGAGAAATGCACGTGTAGCTTATGTTGCTGGTTGTATTTTCTAGTCAAAATCTGTTACGCACACGGTTTAGAGTTTATGAGATAGCCGGTAACAGGTAGCTTTGGTTATATTTAAACCTCTTCCTCCTATGAAAGATTTACCTTTCGTTTAGAGCCTAGTGTATAGGCCACAGTTGGAATTACACTTCTGCAGTCAGAGTTACAGAAGATGAAGCGTTTGGAAATTGTTGAGTTCTTAGTGTAGTACCTTTCAGGAACGCTCGTTCCAGTCTTTTTCATTGGTTCTGTGTATGAGTTGTAGTCACCCGGCTAGATTATGCTCCTACATTATTTTAAAGATTAGTCAATCAATCATTTGGCATCATTGTTGTTGAATTTATTGATCATGAGAGCAGCTGGTATACTTTGCACTTGAATTGCACAGCTCTTGATGTTGCCTACTCACCCTAGCTGCTTGATTGTAAGTAACTGTATTTGTATTTTAGCTTGAATGATTTTGCAGTTAATCACCGATTCTTTTGCCATGTCCTTTACATATCACTTAGGGTCAGGTTCCGGCATCTATATTTTATGTTTTTTGGTTCATGGCTACGTCGTGGATATCTGCAGGAGGAATACAAGTTGGGATTTGATGTTGAGTACAGAAATACCCACATCAGTTCTATGACAGCCTGGTTTTTATCCGAGGAACTGATACCCGGCTCTTAATCCTGTAGGTGCGTGCATTATCACCTGGGGATAATGTCATTCGCGGCCACTGGCTTGGTCGGGTGGAGGAAGTAATAGACAATGTGACGGTGTTGTTTGATGATGGAAGCAAATGTAAAGTACAGCATGCGGAACCGAGTCGTTTGGTTCCGAGTAGTGAAAGCTTGATGGATGATACCGAATCGCCATACTATCCAGGGCAACGAGTTCGGGCTGCTTCGACTGGGATTTTTAAAACCGCGAAATGGTTGCGGGGCGTCTATAAAGCGAACAGGATGGAAGGGACTGTATCAGAGGTTGAAGCCGGTGAGTGATTGGGGTGTGGTCAGGAAATACTATTGCATCTTTGTTTTCTGTTGGTCGCGTAGTTGGTCCCACCTTTGCTGCATAACTCATCTTCGATAATTCCATGCGTGTTTGCAACGTTAGTGAGCTTTCCTTGTTGCCATTACGGACCTCTCTTAGTTGTGAGGTTCATATTTTTTTCTGATTTTAGAACATTTATGGGAGAGCGATTGAAGCAGTTCCCCAATACTGTTGATTCTGTTATGTTCAATTCTATTTTGTCCTTTTTGCTGTTTGTATGTGTGTGTTGCTTATTTATGAGAATGTCGCGTTCTTTCCATCAGTTCCTCTTCTCGTTTCATTTAATTCTAAATTATTTGAACAATCTTTGGTGTCGAGCAGGTCTGGTGATTGTATACTGGATCGCTGTTTCAGCTCTCCATTCTTCCGCAGTCCCTTCGGAGGAGCAAGATCCTCGCGACCTTGTACCAATGACATATTTCACTCATACAAATTGGCAAATTGGAGATCGTGCCATTCTTCCCCAAACTTCAAAGGTGTCTGCTGCAGACGCTGGAGGAATATCAAGTGCCGCCTCTGAAGTAGGTGCTTTGGATGTGCGCAATGGAGAGTCTTCATCTTTGGAGGGCTCCTCTGAAAACATAGGACATAATGCGGTCGAGTTGACTGGCTCGACGGAAGGAGTAGTTGATGAGGTAGCTGAGGAAACTGCTGATGAGGTTGCTGCTTCTAAACAACGTAAGATTGGCAAGCTTAGAAAGGTATCAAGGAAAGAAAAGAAAGCATCAAGAAAGGACAAACACTTGGAGAAGGCTGCTTTGGTTGTGAATACTAGAACATCTGTGGATATATTGTGGCAGGATGGCAGTAAATCTTCTAAAGTTGATTCATGTTCTCTAGTTCCAATTGAGCATGTTGGTGATCATGATTTTTGGCCGGAGCAGTACGTGCTAGAGCAAGGCCCAGATGGTGATGATCTTGACAATGAAGTGCGTCGTGTAGGTGAGCGTTTGTTTTTATTTGAATTTTGTTTTTGTTTATATGTGGCATTAAAACTTCTTTTAGTGTATGCGAAACAGGTTGCTTATTCTGTGGGTATATAGTGGTCTTTGAAATTCGCCATCCGCTTCTGTGATTTATTTTGTAACCCGTTTTGTAAAATTTCATTTCAAAATAAATTTTCATCGGAGTCCGCGAATGAATTTTTTCTTGCTGCAGTTCTGCAAATAAGCCTCTTGATTTTAGTATTCTTCTGAAATTTGGGCAGTTTTAGATCAGTGTCACGGAGATGTCCATGTGTATTTCAGTCAAATTCAATATGGTGGTATCCATGTAGGCATTTTGAAAAGTGTTGATGCAAAACAACGCACGGCAGTTGTTCGATGGTTAAAGCCAGTTGCACGTCCAGAGGAGCTTCGAGAATTTGGCGAAGAAGAAACTGTTAGCGTGTATGAGCTTATTGGACATCCAGATTATGCTTACTGTTTAGGGGATGTTGTGATTCGTCTTGCTCCTGCACCGAGTGGTGTATTTGAGTCAGAATCATATGAATCCGACGCATCAAGTGTGGAAGGTACGTATTTGATCTCTTGTATATTTCGGTATTCGGAAGCTGATTCATCATAACGACATTGCTTATTGTAACGGCACGAAAGTAAAGGATTAGCCCATCGTTATGTTTAGCTAGCTTGCGCTAAGTAAGTCTATATTGTAGATGACAATTACATTTGTAGCGATATTCTTTTCGATGATTGTGGATAAAGTGCAATTCTCATACGCTTTCATGCGTGCTAGCAGATGCTGAGGATCATGACCTTGATGTCTCTGAGAAAGGAAAAGATCATGTAAAGGCTCAGACGTTAAGGAAGAAATCAGAGGACCTTGCTGGAGAGATTCTGGATTTGTCATGGGTTGGGATCATCATAGGCCTTCAAGATGGAGATATTGAGGTCCATTGGGCGAATGGCTTGGTTTCAAAGGTCTCAGATGGTTTCCACACGTTTCTACCTCTCTATGAACCTCCATTTCTCAAACTTAACATTTTATTTCTTCTTCTTCTTCTTCTTCTGCAGTTGTTGTTGTGGTGGTGGTGGTATTAGGACAACATAAATTGACACTGTATATCAAGCACTTGTTCAGAGCATTTCTCAAATGGTGCGAGTTTTGTTCAGGTCGGACCTCAAGCAGTATTTGTAGTGACTCGTGATGAGGACGATATGTCGTCTGCTCACACAAGTGATCTTGAGGATGAGAATGACGGTGATGATGGTGCCAGCTGGACAACTGTAGACTCTGCTGAAGAGCGCGCTCGTGAGGTATGTTCCATAGCAGAGTATGGTTTTAGTTGAATTTTGTTGGAAGAGTTAGCTGTACTTATGCTGAACTTCTACCTTCATTAAGGAGAAACTTTGTCTACGTCTGCTCCATCGTAATTAAAAGTTTTTCAAAATTCTCTTCTTTTGTTCATTTCTCCTTAGGAGTGGTTAATTTCTAACCGTATCATTGCAACTTGTGTTTCAGTACCTCTATTGATTCTTGATTGCGCTTGCAGTTGGAATTAGGTTTGGAACCGGCAAACGAAGATGATGAACCGAGAAGGGATGCAAGACCTGCTCAAGAAACTGTAGATGATGATCTCAACAATCCGAACCCTCCACTTTTCAAGGGTCCCATTGCAGCAGCTATTGGACTTGTGTCTCGGATGGCTAATGGGCTCCTTGGACTTAGGGGGAACAACAGGGATTTAGCACATATTCGGAATGGTCAAGGTCGTCTACCTTCAAAGCACGGATTGGAAGAGATTCTTGATGATGCTGACTGTGGGAGCTCAAGGGATTCTCGTTATGTGGTTGATCGTCTCCGGAAAAGGGATACCACCTCTTGTAGTAAGACTACTTTACATTTATGTGCACCACTATATAGGTGTTTTGAAGAAATGAGATTCTTGTCAAGGATTTAGGAGTCCCCTTGGTGGAGTTCTGTGGATTGTATTTTGCTGTAATAGGATCGTCGTTTCTTTTGAAACTGTAGTAAGTGCTTATTCTAGTAGCACTTCTGTGCTGTTTTTGAAGTCTGAAGATATATCCGAAAGTTTGCATGAGTGGTCAGTTGTATCTTTACATTGTAATGTATTGTACTTGAAATAGATCATCCTTTGAATTTTACTTGAACTTTTACTGGCTTCATATTTGCCAGTCAATAAAAGTTGACATGTCTTCTCTTCAGTATTATATCATATGTAGACAATCTTCATCATGCTAATTTTAAATATAGTTACTGCAGTATCTGAAGAGGATGGGAGACCTACTTCAAGCGAACAAGAGGGTGAAAGTCAAGGTGCGCTTGTTGACGAACTTTGTTTTCATCACTCAATCCATTCAATCCCTTCCTCGTTTTCCGGGAAGCTAATAAAACAAATTGCCTGCTATGTGTGAGTTTTCTGAATCATGAACTCGCTTTTGTTGCAGCTGCTGCAAAGGATGAAATTGATGGGTGTGCAGAATCAAATGAACAAACTGATTCCGACCTTGGCAGTCGCTTAGAGAAGACGAACATTTCACAACGCTCCACATCAGAAGTAGATACAACACAAGACAACGGATCTTACTTACGTACAAGCTCAGAACCAGGTTCTGGTACGAGGGTTTTAATGTTTGAGAACATCAAACACTTTGACATCGTCTCTGATCCTTCTGACCACCACTATATTACTGAGACTGCCCAGGTAAATGATATCTACTGTTTGTTTGCTTCTATTTGTCGTATATAGATGTTGGTAAACAAACACTTGCTTTTAGTAGTTTGAAGTTGGAGCTCTTTGGCTTTGGACGTATTGTCAGATGTGTGCCTATCATTTGTTTCCGTTGTGATTTGTACTTTGGAGAGTTTTGGTTTGACTAGGTGATGTGGAAACTTAGTTGACAGAAAAGTAGAGTGGCTGCCGTATGTGAAGGAATCTTGACTTTGTTGTTACTGAAGAAATTTGTTCTTACTGATGCAGGCGACCAGTCAACGCAGATGGGCAAGGAAAATTCAAAGCGAGTGGAGTATTCTTGAAAAGAATCTTCCTGGTATTTGAATACTGTACTTAGCTATATTTTTAACGTGTTGGCCAAATTAGAACCACTGTCCTGTCCCTAACCTTATGAAAAGTTCACTCATGATGGATTTACCTGCTGGATTTATTCTTTGTTGCCTTTTTCTTTTATTTTATTTTATTGATCGACTCCAATTAGTTGCACTAGCTAATAATTGTAATATTACTGTTCTTCTCTAGATACAATATATGTGCGGGTCTACGAGGAGCGAATGGATTTATTGAGGGCTGTGATACTTGGTGCACCTGGTACTCCATACCACGATGGGTTATTCGTTTTCGACTTGTACCTGCCTCCGGAGTATCCTCATACACCTCCTGTGCGTTTTCTATATCTGATCTTTGAATATATATATATATATATATATATATATAATATTTTTTATGTTCCTCATTTTACTTTCAAGGACTTTGTTGAGGATCAATACTTTTGATTCTAAAATCGATTATGAGCGTGCGATTGTACGTTTGGCTAGTGATATTATTGTTTAATCTGAAGACACGTGTCTCTCCTCACCATTTCAAATTCAAACTATTTGTTGTCAGTACGTTATAACATTGGGACTAAGTGTTTTATTGTCTCTTCTGCAGCAAGCGTATTATCACTCTGGAGGATTGAGGTTAAACCCAAATCTTTACGAAAATGGGAAAGTGTGCCTCAGCCTCCTTAACACCTGGACTGGAAAGGGAACAGAAGTGTGGGACCCTCAGGAATCAAGTATTCTCCAAGTTTTAGTATCGATTCAAGGCTTGGTACTCAACACAAAGCCTTACTTCAACGAAGCCGGTTATGATCGACAAGTTGGGACCTTGGAAGGGGAGAAAAACTCCGTTGTGTACAACGAAAATTCATTTCTATTGTCTCTCAAGTCGATGCTTTACCTTATTCGCCGACCACCGATGGTGTGTACACTTTCCAACTTAGTTTATATTTGGGCTATATAACTTAACGGCTTTTAATTTGGGTCATAATCTTTCCGTCTGGTTTTTAAGTCAGGTGTAATTAATCTACAGTAGTTCAATTTTTTCTTAATAAGATTTTTTTTTTTGGGTGTGTGCAGCACTTTGAAGATCTTATTCGGAAAAATTTTAAGCTTAAGGGTGCTAGTTTGCTGCGGTCTTGTGAGGCTTACTTACAAGGGGCACCGGTAAGGTTTTGTTAACCTACTCATACTCTTTTCCATGAACAAGGGGCCCTTGACATGCAATTCATTACTTTGCTACAAAGAAAAGAGGCAGGGGGCGTTATGTTTGAGGATTCACTTGAGGGTGGGAATCAGGTTAATGTTTTAGAGGCTCTATGGGAAGGTATTCGCACGGTAGTAATGTTCACCTCTCGTCCAAGTTTTTGTATTATTCCCATACCTCAGAGAAGGATCTCCATTTCATTATTGCTTCTGATGCTTTTACAGGTGGGATCACTGGTAGAGAACAAAAACACCTCCACACTAGCTGACACTGAACTGGTTGGGGCTGACAAAAGTTCTGCTGGGTTTAAACTGATGTTGAAGAAACTTGTGGTGAAGCTCGAAGAGGCATTTAAGGAGCTAGGAGTTGAATACGATGAATCATTATGACGACGGGTTTGTAATCAAACAGAAGTCACCATTACAGGGGTATTGTGAAATTGAGGAAAGCTTCCCTTGAGATTCTCAGATGTTCAGATGCATACCCCATTGAACACTATGTTCATGAAGGTTTTCCTTGCGCCGCCACATCTCCTTGGGCAGAGTTGGTAATCAGCACAGGGTGGAGTTAGACATCTCTTTGCAGGACTAGGGTCTTACTTTTTCTAGGACACGCACACCTTTAGTCGGTCTCTCTTGTTGAGAAATAAATTTCTCTTCGTAGTAATTAGATTTTCACCTGGTCGCGAAACTTAGTGTTGTACTGAATTGTTCTCGAATGGTACTCAAATTGGGAGTATACATCGTCTATCATTAGTGGGCTCTAACTACGACTGTGTGCCAAAGACTTACAGGTGCCATTGGTTTTTGGGGTTCTCAGATTCACCTATATCCGTCAACACTATTGTCTTTCATTTGAATCTTCAAGCTTTATCTAGTTCTCGGATCAACAATCCCGTTAAGGTAGTTAAAAATATGTTAACCTGTGGAGTAGTCCACTGTGAAGTGGGTTGTTAGTGCATGAAACCCGTCTGCGCACCTCCGAACACTACGATTCCACTGCTTAAAACGGTTAGTACGTCCAAGCTTCACACTTCGACGGAATAGGTCATTTGTCCAATCTGCGCCGTTCAAGATTGTGGGGATATTGACATATACCCCAGATACTCCCGCGACGTGGCTCTGTTTACGGGAGACCAGAACCGTTCGATCTGACTTGCATCTGTTCTCCTCTTAATACAGTAAGCGTTTATCCCTTTAAATTCCTGAACTCCGATTCTACAGTTTGGACTTGCCTTTGGCAGCTCCTTCAGTGCATGCCGGAAAGCTGCAAGTAATTCTCACTACAGGACAAGCAATCCAAGGGCTACCTTGTTGGTTGTGGAGGAAAGATCAACCAAAAATCTGTGTTTAATGCATGCGTGTTTTGGATAAAAGATGCGTTGTTAAGTTATACAGCACCCTAAAATAAATAAAAAATGACTTGACTTGACATCATACATTTTCAAGTGAAAATTCTTAACAGATAACTGTCTCAAAAGCACTTAGAAAACAACCAAACGCATACGTTTGCATCTATTGTTATTATCTGAAGTGGCATGCTGTATTTTGAACAAACATGGTCTACTTTTTTAAGTATGAGAGGTATTGCTCTGCGAGGTTTACCAAGATAAGTTTAGGACCAAGATGCACCTCGTTTCAAAGCTATTTCATGTACATAATAAAAATTGTGCGTTTAAAAGAAATCGGAAACGAGGACAAATTTCGTTTTCTAATAATCTTTTACATCAGACAAACAACAATGTAACCTATCAACTTTTATGCAAGTTTTAAAACTAAGCAGCCAATTTCGGTTTCAACTGTTTTAATAGTGGGCAAAACAATACTAGAAGATGTCTTCAAATTTGTACATATTTGAAAAATTAGACACTATATCATAAAATGTGACTTCCATAAAGCCTTGTGAGATTTTGATTTCGTCATTAAATGTCTTCAATGAAATCATAATAGTTACAATCTTTGAATTTTTTTTTATAAATTCTTTTGATAGTAACATAGCTAAATGAAATTATTTTTCTATGGTGATAGTAAATATCTACCAAAATGCAAGCTTAGTCCATTTTGTGATTGAATAACATGTTTTGCACCATCTTGAATATAAGTGGGATCTATTGTAGAAACAAACACATTTAAGCATATAAGCATTTACAAAATAATCAGTATAAATTACTTTAAGAAAAGGATTACAATAGATCTTTTTATTTATAATATTAAAATTAGACTAAATATTTATTGGGAAAAAAATTATCTTAATATATTTACGAAAATGAATTATGAACCTATCCTAAAGAAATCACTTACACTTACAGTGAATTTGAAGTAAAATTTTGATATTTTGTACTCTGGATTGAAAATACCAATTAACAGCACGAATTAACAGCACGAATCTGGCCTATTTTTATTTCTTGATGGAAAATACATTCGTTATAAAAAGTAAAAACATCGTGTTTAATATTGTTGTTAATATTTTCATAAGACCCTTAAGCTATTGAGACGTTATTCATCCATCCATCATCATGTACCAGTCATCCATCCAGAAAGGAAAGGGAGACATGAAGCAAAGAAGATCCGCTGGTCCTTCAAGTCCCCAAGGGCCAGGAGCCAAAGGCCCAGGGACCGGTTCCCGTGCAGTGCTGGCACTCTGCCACATTAGAAAGACCACACCACGTCACCCAATTACCTGGCACCGTTCTGGGCCGTGATTGGAGCTTTCTTTTGAGCTAGCGCCATTCCCATTGGCCCACAACTCTCCGACCCCTTGTCGCTATTCGGCTTGAGCCACTACAAACATTCATGGCGTCGAGACAATGCTCTTCGGCAGAGCTAGTTGGCCCGCTGGGTTCGACGCCGGCGGGGACGGACTGCGATGGATTGAGGGAGATTCGGTCTCAGAGTGCCGCAACCTGGGTTCAGATCCGCAATGTGCACCGGGTTGCTCCTTTCATCTGCAGCTTTCATGCGCCGGTGAAAGTTTTTTTCAGCCCACTTGCTCAAGCTGCTCCAATGGGCGACGGATCATGAAATTCGCGTAGCTTTCAATGGGCGTTGTTCGAGCCTAGCGAAAAGGTATTGAAAGCATGGAAAGGTTTTCAATCCCACAATATGCGATTGGAGCATGAGAGCTTTTATCCGGTTCGTTCAAGCAACGGAAGCGGTAAAGGAGCTGCTTGGACAACGCTTTAAGGTGTTGCAGTAAATGAACGCAGAACCAGCTCCCCTGAGGGTTGAAAGTTTGAGCCTGTTGTCGAGTCCTCCTCGGCGATGTGGTGTTGCTTCCTGTATTGCCAGTTGAGGTGGAATTCTTTGAGGATCTCTCGGTTGGCTTTCTCAGTAGTTCCGTGGATGGACGATCAACGTAGGTGCCACATATTTCGGTCTTCAGTCGTCCTTATCTGCAGCGTGACATTGATCACGACTTCGATGCACCTTCTGGCATGTGATAGGTACACGCCTAATAATAATGACTGTAATATGGGGATTGGTTTTTTTGTTCACTACGCATTAGTGGTCAATCTAGGTTCAGTCGCTGCACACTGCACTGATTAGCTCTTTTCTTGCTGCCCCTCTGATCCACCTCACTAATCGACCATTATCAACCCTCTAGCGTCCCAGCCCTCAATTTCGGCTGGCTAGGGTGAATGACTGAAATTAGGATGGATGGGTTATCAGTTCATCAATCACATTGTCGATGAGTGCACATAATGCGTAAGAACCCAGACTCGGTTAATATTAGAGGAATAGCAGTCATGCGCGATGATGGCAAGCTGAATTTGGCGTCGCCAAGGACAAAACCTCTTGATCGCATACTGGACATTCCATTTCCAGTCGACATGGATTATCGGACAGGTGGATCTAATGAAAAGACACCATATTACAGGAACAAGGAGTGTTCTAGTTCTTTCTGCGGTTGCTTCACGCCGCACGAGAGACCAACTCTGACATCGCTCTCAGAATGTCAGGCCTTCTTCCTCCTTTGACTACGCATGTTCTTAAGTCGTTTCGCACCGTTGCCATATCATGCGCTAAAGTAAGTTTCCTAGAAGGCTGGTTTAGAGGAGTCCTTTCTGCTCCACGCCAAGGTTTCTGCATCATACGACGCAGGAAAATGACTTTTCCCAGGATTTCTCATGAGATTTGGGTATTTAACACAGGTCTGCAACTATTCATTACGTCGATGCTCATCTACCTCACCAGTCCCAAATCGGATGCTACCCCTTTTCATCAACGGGTTTATTCTTCCCAGTTTTTCTTGAAACATCAGTTAGATTGGATGAAGAAAATCGTAGACAGAAAACACACTTATTCTGAAACCCTTCTGTGTCGTGACCATTCAGATTTAGCTGTCTTCTAAACTTAACCACCCGCAAAAACTATACCGCTTGTTCCCCTCAACCGAGGAGTAAGGTGGCATACTTAACGGCTGTTCGGAGAACGAGGCGAGTAGATTTTCCCAGTATTCACATTCACCTTTTTCTTTTGCCGTCGGAATGTTTATTTAATTGTCTTTTTTCTTTTTCTTTTTCGATGGGACAAAACGGAATTTCACACGAGACCGTCTGTCGAATGCAGTGCGATGAGAATCTACTAGCATGACGCCAACATGGACATCCGTGGGAAGAAATGGCGATCGACTTTCTATCGCTGGTGGATTGCATCCACAACTCTAGTTAAAGTGTCTGACACCGGTAGCCTTTTATTATCATTTACAATTGGCCACATGTAAGTGTAGGGAATAACATCTTGCGGCTTGGAACAAGCCTTGTCTCTTTCCAGTTGATGGAAAACGGTGGCAGATTCGGTTTATTGGGCTTGACTGCCGGCAAACGTGTTGGAGATTGCTGAGGTTGAGGTGACTGCACAGTGCCAGTTATCAGAGAACATATCGCAGTGCTGTGCTAATTGTAGAAGGAAAGATCCAATTTAGGTACCATCTTTGTTTGGTTCGTGGTATGGTTTTCACTAGTGCTAAGATACAACCAGATAAAACTTCAAGTGCAATTACTCCACCACAGATCGGGAGAATCCGGTGAGTCTTCAGAGGATTAAGTAGCATGACTCTTGGTAAAGAACACTCTATTCACCATTATTACAGAACAATAAAGCACCTCAAAATATTAAACTAAAAGGAGATAAGAGGAAAGAAGGAGTAAATTCATAGAACAACAGAAGATATAGGCTTTTGAATATTGGTGTCATCGCCCGCAGTTCATTGATCGGTAAAAGCAATTTCAAAATTATCCTGAGGAAAGATGAAAGTGTCCAGCAAACACACCTGCTGTCTATCAGGGCCATGAGGCTTGGTTGCCAGACTTCATGTTCTACATTTAGTGGATAGTGCGAGGTTTCGTGTCGGGTGTGGCATGATCAGCAGCTTTGCACTGAGTTAGTGATCAATGTTGGGCACGGGACCTTAGAAAACTGCGTCCTGTTTTTCACACAGACAATGCTGATAGTCGGGCCCGGTTATTATTAGAACATCGGCTGCCTGTATCGGCACACGCCACTCCTGAAGCAATGCTGATGTTCATTGCCCGAGGAAGACCCACCCAGGCATGATGTGACGAACATGTTACGTTGGAGGGCGGGTCGACAACATAGAAAATAGGAGAACATAAACAGGTTTAGGGTGGCACGCAGAAACTACCTAAGCACTATGATGCAACTTCCGGACCAAGCTCCGAGGCACAGCCATTTCTACAAGAGACCTGTACAAATATCACCACGTGATAATATAATGTTATACAAGGTATTTGGGTTCCTCCAGTGTACCTTACACTAAAATTGTGATTTTTTACCAAGTTCCGACGTCACCCTCTTCCGATTTCCTATTAGGAGTTTTGACGCAGGTGATTGGGCCAAC